TTTTGATTTCAACTAAATTTGTTTCAAACCAGTCTTTGGACATTTGAAGTGGGGTTTTGTCCAATAGGCTCCTGGGTTTTTTATGGTCCCATCCTCTTTCTGTAGTGGGCTTTCCATTTAAGACCATAATGGAAAGAACTCACCAGAAACCACCAGTTTTTTGGCCTAAACAACCTTGTTTTTCTAGGCTAGTAAACTGTGTTGGTTAAGTTTTCATCGTGTGAGGAATTAGGATAAATGGGGTACTAAGACAAGTGGTTTTATGTAGCTTTTGATAGTGAAAGGAGAAGGAAAGAATTTATGAGAGGTCCACAGTTCGATCTAAATAGGGGTGGCAATGGGTCGGGTCCGGCTGGACCTGGACCTGAGTCTAGATCCGTATGTATTTGAGTCCAGGTTTTAGATATGGACCCAACTCGTTGGGTTTAAAAGTTGGACCCATACCCGTACCTATCAAGTCCATTGCCACCCTCACTATGAGCTTTCTTTTTTGTAGCATACAATGGTGAAAAGCAGAGAAATAATTTTCGAAGGGTGGGCGATTAGAGAGAGATATTCGAGATCTAGAGAGAGCTATGTCTCCAAGAAATTGAGAGAGGGAGAATTACAGAGAGGGAGGATAGCGATGGGGTTTGCCTGTTTGGGGAACCAAGGGAAGACCAAAAGTATTGAAACGATTTTATGGCTGGGGCTTTGGCCTTTGGGTAAACTAAAAATTTGGATCCAAGTACCTACTGGGTCGGGTATAGCAGGACCCGTATCCAAACCCGAGACTATCCGGATATGCTTTATTGAACTCGGACCCTAACCATGGGTCCAAAACTTAAACCCATACCCGGACCTGTGTCGGGTATACCTGGCAGGTATGGGTCGGGTCCGGGTCCATTGCCTCCCCTAGATCTAATGGCTAGAATCTGGCAACCAAAAAGAGGGAAAAAATGACCAAAAATATGCATAAGCATCCTTTCAATGGCTTAGATTAAATATGGCCACATCTGGTGGGCAGAAAAGAGTTTTCTATTCTATTTTTATATTTTATTTAAAAATAATATTTATTTGAATATTAGGTTATAAATGTATTTTTATATAATGAACCAAATAAAAATAATAAAACATATTTCAAACAAAAAGTTAACCAAAATATCCTTAAATAACTTTAGGGGTATTCTGGTTAATTTTTTTGTTCAAAATATTTTTGTATGCTTCTTATTTTATGTGTAATATAAAAACATATCTATACGCCAAATTCTAGATAAACATTATTCTAAATAAAAATAAAAACAAAATGTGAAACTCTTTTTTAGCCATTGGATGATACTAGGTTCAATCCAAACCCTTGAAGGGCTTGTGCACCCTTTAAGTGTCCACAACATGTGGACGCTATACTATCCATATGGCTTAAAGTTGTGATTTTCCAGTAGAAAATGAGTGGCTTCATGATGAGTGGTCCTTGAACTTGTAAGGGGAGAGGGCTTGGAGGGAACTGAGGCTTTGAAGCTTGAATTTTAGAAAAAGAGAGAGGATTGAGATAGAGAGAAATTTCGGGAAAGGAAAGAGATGCTTCTCGTGCACCAATTTTTAAATATCGTAAAAAAATCAATTTCATAAAAAAAATAGGGAAAATATCTCCATATCTCTTATTTTTAAATTTTATTTTTTAATAAACCCAATGTTTCAAAAAAACATCTTTTAACCGCTGGCCACTTTAAACCTATTTGTTAACCTAAACAAATATGAGAAGGATATTCTCTTCCTAACCCAATCCCTTATCTCTCTTCATTTTTATACCCAAAACTTCTCTCTTTCTCTCTCTTGCTGCTTGTTTTACACTCTCTCTCCCATGTCCAAACACCTCTCTCTCTACCTGTGTTTATCCAAACACCTCTCTCTCTCCTCCCGATAACCTCTCACCACCAAACATCGCTCTCCTCCAGTGTTTATCCTCTTTTGTTTATCAAAACACTTCTCTCTTTCTTTCTTCCTGGTAACCTCTCACCATCAAACACCTTTCTCTCTTCTTGTGTTTATCCAAACACCACTCTTTCTCTCCATATACTTACTATGTATTTGAAAGGAGAGAAAGTAAGGGGAGAGAGATGGGAAACATGAAGAGAGAACAAGAAAGAGAGAGACGTTAGAGATGGGAAAGACAGAGAGAGAAGGGGCACGGGGAGAGAGAGAAAGAACTTTGGTAGGATGGTTTTTAAAAAATACATGTCTTTTTAGATTTGTTTAGCCTAAAAAATACAGGTTTAAAATAGTTCAGGGGATTAAAAGAAATAAAACCTACAATTTTTATGGCCCAACCTGAAATAAAATCTACATTTAGGGTTGACAATGGATTAGGTGATCCTTACCTGAAAAAGTTGGCATGGGCAAATATAATGTGTTCGGAAGGCCGGGCCAAGGCTAGGCCAAACAGAGCCCGAGGAAGGTCCAGTGACCACTTTCCTTTAAGGATTATTCCTTATGTTGTCTCCTACATAAATTTAAAGATATTTATGAGTATCATGGCCCCTGTTTGAGTGCACATATTTTCAAAAATATCGCCTTTTTTTTAAAAGAAATTTTTACCTATATTTCACCCACAAATGAAAGTGTTGCTTTTTTTTTGGAAAATATTTACATGCTGCACTCCCCGCATATAAAATATATGTGACTACTATTCTTATTATCCAATCTAAATGGACAGTTACAATAACTTTAATCATAATGTCGCGAGTTAGATTGATTTGGATTGGATATCTAAAAGTATCAAATTTTAAATTTTTATTTTACAAATCATTTTGACATGAAATTTGGACGTGCCTAATTTCAATAAAAAGAATAGTTCAAAATAGCTTGCAACTGCAGGGATAATGTGGTCATTTTATTCTTTATTAAAAATAATTTTAAAGTTTAGGTAGGTGCGGCATGCCCCAAATTTAATGAAAAGATGCTTTATTTAGAAATTTTAAAAATGAAACAGTGTTCAGGTGTGACATTGTCCCAAAAGTTATCCTAGCCGTCCGCTTAAATCAAACAACTAAAAAAATAGTAACATTTTGTTTTATACGTGGGTGACTCTATGATTTCCCTTTTTCTTAACCCCATTAACGATTTGTACTCCTAGCCTAGTCCGAAAATTTTTTGGTGCTCTACTTGTTTAAAATGCTACCAAACTCCCTTGAGACTCCCCAAGAAAAAAAAAAAAAGAGGGAGAGAATCATAAATTTTCCTTCATTTGTTAAAAAAGAAAAAAGGGTGAGTCATTCCAGCTGTAACCTATTAAGACCATGGTTCCTCAAAATTGAATGTAAAGACAGGCTAAATATGACTGTTAAGGTGTCCAAATTAGAGGGGACTTATTTCATTTGTATTTAGTGGAAAGCTAACTATTTTTGGCCAATTGGATTCCATAGGCTTCCAAGTGTGATGCATCCACTGTCCCCATGGTGTATGGTTACAACAAATCCTTGTAAGTTTGTGGGAGTCAATGATTGTGAAATGCAGAAACAATAATTACCTGGTAAGAGGTGCATTAGACTTTATGGACAGTTGGCAAATATGAACCAGTAACCATGACAAGTTTCTGATAAATTTTGTCATCTTCATATTATCTCTTAACATGCAATTTGCTGTTTTTGTAAACAATGTGGGCTTGGATAAGGATATAGAAATAAACTCACAAAGTGAAGGTATACAAGTGAATGTACTTAACAGTAGTGTGTGTTCACCAGTTGATATCATGGAATTGTTTAGTGGATCTTTGTATTTAGTGTTTTTTATTAATCAGGAAAGTATTGATTCTTCTTCTTTGTGCAGTGAGTAAGCTTGGTTCTAAATTTCTACCTTAAGGCGGCAACAGGAATCTTTTAATTGAGCTAAGGGCTTAAACCCATCTGATATTCTACCCTAAAGTATATAACTTGGATACTTTTAAAAGGTTTTTCATTGCAAGTTGGGTTTTATAATAGTCAATATTTTATAGGAAAATGTGTGAAGAATGAGTTAGAAGCATGCTAAGTATTGAGACACTAGATTATGAGTTGTACGTTGTAATCTCTCTGGTATGCTGTTAACTGGATCATCTCCCCAGTTGTTGCCTTACAAAAAGGATTCTATTGTTAAAATAGAAATAAAATGTCTCAATGGGATTTAGGCAATTGCTTGATTGGTTAAGGTGTTGACGATTGCGACATTATTTTCTAAGTTCGAATCTAGCGCTGACCAACCCAAAAGCATTTCAGCGAGGTCTTTCTGTCGGACGTGATCAGTTAAGTAATAAAAATATTCGGACATTTTTGAGATTTGGGCACCTGGCTTGATGTTTATGCAATCGACAATTGCAACACAATGTCTAGGGTTTGAATTCTGCTGTTGATCTAATCCAAAATAAAAAAGAAATAAATGACATTGGGCAGGAGAAGTTTTTTTATTGGTAACAACTTGCTATAGCAATCGGCTCGGTGCCAATCACCGAAGAGAAACGGCTTACATGTATGAAAACTGGCTTCTCGGTCATTTATTCGCGATTTAAAGATACTCTTAAGATACATAGAGATGGTACAGTTAACAAATTAGAAAAAATGAAATAAAATCTGGTGGTCTAGCTATTCAAACAGTTGCCTCCTCTATTAGTACTAACAGTTGCCTCCTTTAGTAGTGCTCTTTCTTTTGGCAAGACTATTTACTATCCCTTAAAAAAGACGTACCATGCACCACTCCTTAGATGTATCTTGTCTGCAACTCCTAAGATATAGCTCTCTATCCTCTGATGAAAACCCTGGTAGGGAACCATGTACCGAAAAAAGGAAAGGTGTGTCGCAGTCATGCACATATTGTGTCATCATCATTATCATCGTCAAAATTTTTTCCAATTAATTGAGATTGGTTACACAAATTCTAGTCCGCTTCTATTATAACCTTTTATTCAAATAGAAAGAAACTAACTATTAGAAATTTTAAAAAAGCATTTTGGATTTAAGAACAGGGGAGAGAGCAAATCAGAGCAAAGGAAGGAAACCAAAACCAAGCAAACTCCATTAATTTATATTCTCCAAATCCAACTTACACCCCAATAACGATACCCCACAAATTCCCATAACAAGCAAAAAAAAAAAAAAAATCTCCAAAAGACCACTTTCTCTTCCCAACACCATGAACACCACCCCAACACACAGCATACACAAACCACTAAGAGAGCACACACAACCTGGGCCACAATACACAACCCGTTTCAAAAGCCCCTGACTCTATGGACAGCCCTGACAAAACCATACGCAACTCCCTAGCCACTAGCTGGTGGAGGGGGCGGAGGCGGCACACCATACTCCACCCCACCATCCACATACCCCTGCTCACCATGCCACCACACATTAGCAGAAGAAGCAGCAGAAGGACCCCCCTCAAACCCCAGAGCAGGCGTACCCAAGCTCGGGCCCTGCCCATAATAGAACCCACCCGGTGCACCTGGGTCCATCCCGCCGAACCCACCTAGCCCTCTCGGTGCACCCACTCCAAGCGCACCAGCCTCGTCCCCTTTAGCCTCCTCTCTCGGCACAATATCGACCAGGAAATCAAATATCTCAGTTCGGGTAATGGCAGCGGCAATGTCGTTCTTCTGCAGCGTCCGACGCTTGTTCTCTTCGGCATGGAGCCACGAGCGAATGGTGAGCTCGAGGATGAACAGCTCGCACGCCTTGGAGAAGAGGACAGGGGCCTCAGCCGAGATCATGCGCACGTCTTCATCAGCTTTCATGATCTTCTTGATGCGGGCCAAAGGGAGGGTGTGGGTCTTGAAGTCAGCGGTTTGGAGGATGTCTTGGCGCTGGTAGGACCAGAAGAGGTCGAGCTGTTGGGCTTGTTGGTGAAGAAGGTGTTGCTGCTGGCGTTGGAAGGATTGTGCCGTGATTGGGATGTTGGGGTGTGGGTAGCCTCGTGCTGGTGCCTGAGATGGTTGCTGGTTTTGCTGGTTTGGGTCCATTGCCTATCTCTTTCTCTCTCCTTATGTCCCTCTTTTTACCTCTCTACCTGTCTTTCTCTATCTCCTCTGTTTGTCTGGCTTGCTCTGTCTATTTATACTACTCTCCCTACAAGCTCTCTGTGTTTTCTCTCTCTCTCTCTCGCTGTAGGATGGGAGAGTTGTGGAGGAGAAGGGGGGAATGGATGGGAATTTGTAGGCTAAAAAAAGGAAAGAGGGAAGCTCGGATTCTCACGCCTCAGTATCAGAGCGGAGCAGAAGCTGAGTTGGTGAGAGGCTTTAATTTGAAGTGGGAGTGGTGACAAATATATTTAGCATACTCCAACCTTATCCCATCCCCCCTCTCTTTCTTCATTCACACTTCCTAATTTTAGTCTCTCTCTAAACCGTTACGTATATAGTAGGGCCTGGAACACATAGCCTAAGAGCCAGGCTGGGGACAGTGCGGGCCCGACAGGCTCTTCTTTTTTCTTTTTCTTTTTTTCATTTATTTTTAGACCGGCATCACCCTAGCCTAATAGAGCCAATCTGGGCGACGGGCGAGGGCCAAGTCCGGCCCGATACCACCCTGGGCAAAGGGCAAATCCAGCCCGACTCGTTGCCACCCTGCTTTGCATACCTTGTTCGCCCTCAACCCTTTTGCCCTACAGCCTGTCTCACTCCCTTGGTTGCCATCATATTTTTTTTGGGTGAGACAATATGGGGAGAGGGGCACCTTGGTAGGAATTGAGCTTAGAGCGTAGCTTTACAAACCGTCGAGCGCTAATCAATTAAACCTGAGCCACATGATCCATATAACCATAAAAGATTTATGATCGCAACTTATATGATTGTCATCACCGTCCAAATATTAGATATGTGATTTAGGAGATATTGGGCTCTACCACCTGGGTCATATGATGATCATCCTCCCTCCATCACCGTGGACCTATTAATAGAATGGTGATGACTATCATGACCATATTTATTTTGTTGTCATGTACATGACCATGCTCCCTCCATCACCGTGGACCCATTAATAGAATGGTGATGACTATCATGACCATTTTTTTTTTTTGTCATGCACATGATAGTACACTTGATTTCTCTTTATTTGTATGCTTTCTCTATCTTATTAGATCTTGTCATGTATTTCCTGGTATTGGTTTGAAAAATCATTAGAGAACCCCCTTACAAGTTCTCTAAGGCTCAATATATCTCAATTAACAATTTTTAATTGACTAACTTAAAAAATATATAAATCACGGGTGGAAAGTCAAATTGCTAAAATGCTTTTGCTTGTTTATGACCGAACATCAACCATTTAAGCATTTCTAAAGATAGTTTTGAAGGAAACATGAGTCAAATGAAAATAAATAAATAAACCTTTAATGTAAATTCAGATTTTTTACCCTTTTAACAATTTTATTACCAGGAATTTTGATCCCTTAAATAAATTTTTTTCCTGAATAGTAATTCAAACAAGAAGATCCATCCCATCCCCTCTCCCTCCCCCCCCCGCCCCCCCCCCCCGCCCCCCCCCTCGCTTGATACCAAAAGTGTCTCTCTCTTAACTTGTAGATTTTTAAAGGTCTCTCTCTCTCTCTCTAGATTTCTTAGATCTTTTTCCCTCAAAATTTTATTCACAGGGATTGGGGTAGTTGCACATGTTTACCATGAATCAATGAATTGCACTCTTGGATGTGCATATGTATGACTGAAAGAACCACTCTCCAGAAATAATTTTCATGTTTGAGTGGATATTATCGCATACAAATATAAGTGGATATTATCAAATACAAATCTGTCCCATAAGAAGCCATTAACATAATATCTAGCCAAGAAAAATAAAGTAATTGTGAACATTTTTCATGAGAGAATTTCAACTACTGGCTCCCATCCTAAAACTCAACTAAAAGGGATTGTACAATATAAAACCGTTTATCGTAGTGTCACAATCACCCCTAGCCATTCGATAAGAAATCAGACGGCTAAATCTGACAGCTAGGGTTGTATCATAAAGCTCTATAAAAGACTTGAAATAGTAACTCAAGGATGCACATGATTACATATATTATACCAAGGCATGATATAATACTAAAGACAGTTATTGTAGTATATTACATCCAACAGCTAAAAGTGACTGTAATTATCTTATACCAAAGAATACTAAAGATAGAACCAAATAAAAGATCTTCCTCTAGAGAAAGAAAACTTCTTTCCCAACATTTGGAACTCATTCAAGAAAATCTCTCGCCATTTCTTTTAGATGACTGTCATTTGTCTAGACAGCTGCATTTGGACCGTGCACAAAGCACAATTGGACGGCTTTGAATACAAGGCGCTCTACATTTGCCATTTTGGTGAGGAGCCCATTGCTACAGTGACTCAGCCCCGCTTGTGCATAAAACACCACTTATTGCAGAGAGCTGCCAAAGATGGAAACATGTCTTGCCCCCATCCCCCATTGGGCCAAGACGAAGTAGCCTCCATTGAATGAATATGTGAAAACTGTCAAAAATATGCTCTTTCAAGTATATACCTTCCCAATACATATGACCAAGGGAGACAGAATTTCGATTGGAAATTGAACCATAATTATTGAACCAACCTAAAAACACATTGCGCTAACGACTAACCTGTGCAGCAAACACAATGCGGATCCATCTACTCATGCAGCAAAAGCTATATGGATCCATTTACCATCCCATAACTCTGATCGCATCTCCTAAAACATTGGAGCTTTAAAAGGCAATCCCCTGATTCTGAAATCGCTATTTTCAATTGACACCATCATTTTGGTAAATTCACTTATACATATATTTCCCATACTCCAAGGAAGAGAGATTACCAGATGGGTGGCATCAACTGCAAAGAGGGTGACACCCTCCTCCCTCTCTCCCCCTCAACTCTCACCTGTGTTGAAACCAAGGGTGGCTTCCGAAGCTTACAATGAGTCCACCCTCCTACCCAACTTAAAGATAGATTTTGAATTCAAAATCTTATAGGTCTATCATCCAAACCACCATGATCATGAATAGGGGAAAAAATGAATTTGAGGGAAAAAAATGGTTGATTTTGTACTTTTTTTCTGGACCATTCACTTTAGTTATTCAAACATCACCAGATATACACTATTTATAGAGCTCCAAATTCCTGGATCTGAGACAGACATAGATTTACAGTGATTTGGGATGTGTTTTGGGTCCTAAATCCCTTAAAAAACAGATGCATGAATCAGCCGTTTCACCAAATACGTTTCCTCAAATGAATTTCAATAGGAAAGTACACATGGAATTTAGTTCTAAACATGGAATGCAGTTCTAAATAGGAAACTTCCAATGACTATCAAAGTGATTTAGTAATTGAGATTGACGAGACAAAGTCAAGGATGCCATGAAGATCAGCTAACATAAAGAGGACACTCAGATTTTCCCTGTTAACAAGTTCTAACAACAGAGACGATGGCAAAACATAGCCTCAAAACCCTACTTTCAGGGAGTTCCACCCAATAAACATCATTAAAGGTACTAAATAAGCAAAATGCCAAAACACGTTACGATTTGGATGCCTCACCTCAGCAAAGATTTTATGCACGAATGCCAAGTGTTGGGTACAAGATATTGTCATAAGCAGTAAAGCGGCTATAGCCTTAATAGCTCTCTCCAAGACAAACAAATATCAGAATTAGAAAGTCATAAAAGCATAGCCTTGAAAGCTCTCTCTAAGACAGACAAATATCAGAAATAAAAAGACTTCCTACCTGATTAAAATGAAGATAGGCACACAAGCACCTGTTCAAGAGAACACAGCCAAAAAATACCAAAATGACAACTATGACCTAGATTCAGAAAGCTCATACACAAAGTCGTACTGAAGATATCTCTAGATCCCCATTGTTTTAGGGTCTCAACCCAAACCCTGCCATGCAAAATCAGACTCATGCCACCTTTAGCCATCATAAAGTTTTTAAAATGAAAGACTAAACCTGATTAAGGAGGCCTGCTCCAGCTCAAGTAATTAGGGTTTAAACTTACAGGGCAAAGGAGTGCCTATTATATTGCAATTTCCAAACACTTCAACAAATATAAAGTCAAATATTTTCCTATAATGGCATCAATTCATCCAAAATTATCAACTTGTAGATGTAAGAGTACGAGGGTGAGGTCTGACATTTGGTTTTCTAAACAGCCGCACTTGCAACCAATTTTTTTGCACAATAATTTATGATTATTAGTATGTTACATATACAACAATGCAACACAAATAACATATAGATGGATATGCCTATGTATAGCTCATTTCTATGAAGCCAGGTAGCCTCCCTATTTTACTCGAACCAAAACGCTGGCTTGCGCACTTTCTCCTCACATGTTCCGCGCTCCAACCACGTTGCTTCATAAGACCACTGATCCTAAATCATCAAAACCATATTATACCATGTATAATCTTTCAGACAAACCAAAATGCTTGTTTACGATAAGTTTAATCAAATTGGGCTCCATCCACTTGGAAACTCTAGATGTGGTCAGACCTCGTAGCATTTGCAATTTCACCGAAGAATTTTGCATCCAACAAGAAAGTAGCCAAGAGCCAACAGTATGTCCCCATCCATGTGTCACATAATTTTCTAAGTATTATCAACCGTTTCTACTTGTATAATATCTTTGTAATGAGAAATCAACTCCTGAAGAACCCTGGTTATACCCTAATAGATGAACAAAGAAATCAAACTTCTAGTGTACCTTGTTTGCAAACTAGTAAAGAATGCTGTAAGATTGCAGGTAATAAAAGGAGGAACCACGAACAGATGGTAATTATCAATCAATAATAACACCCAAGGGGGGTCCAGGCATTCTTCAGTGTTGTATAAAGGAATAGCATAGACTCAGAGAACAAGAATATTTCTCTCCCTATTTCTAAGATCACTAAATAAACAGTACCATCAAACAAGTATGTTGTTTACTATTATAAAGCATATCCAAAAAACAAAAGAAGTATGACATAAGACAACACATGCTATCAAAAGATACCAATTGGCATCCTGCAGATCCATCTGGAAGTGTTCCAGGTAAAGACGAAAAGAAAAACATAATATAATCCTGTTGACTATAGTATTCTCATAGTGCAATGGAGCCATCACTGTCCAGTGCAATGATAGACAGCAAGGGCAGAGAGAGGGGGGACCCACCAGAACAGCCGAACAGGACATGAGCCCAAAGGTGAGTTTCTCCCTCCATCACCATCCATGACGATGATAACCAAAATGGACTATGGTCGCCCTTAGTTCATGGGATTATAATATACTTAAAGATGAGGAAAATGCCTCGGTAACTTTTAAGGTCATAGATAATGCAAATTAGAATCCACTAAAATACTTTCAATAGGAAGGCCTTGAAGTTCTTGTCCAGAAGATAACACGAAAAAGAAAAAGGAAAGGAAGAAGAAACTGCACAACTTAAAGCACTATAAGGATACATGAGCAAAAAAAAATTTGGCTGCCCAAAAATTGACATAATAAACCTCGCATGGAAAATGCAGAGAATTTAGAAGAAGTTGAAAACAGGCCTTTCGCCCATGAGGAACAATGACTTTGGATAAACCATTACATCATAGACCTCATGCTTAAACTAGACGCTTGCATACCTATAATGCGGCCCATCATAAAGCAATCTTCTCAAATTCCCGATCATATTCCTCGTTCCAACCATCATCCATCAAAGCCCTAATAAAATCAGTGTAGTGTATATCCGTATTGCAACCAAAATTGAAGTTAGGCAATGTGGGCACTGTCCAAAATTAACTGCATGAGAAGTTGCTCAGTCCCCAATCATCACTTCCATCAAAATCTCAAGATTAAGCAAAAGTTGTTTCCCTTCATTTCAACAATTCTTCTCCCAGAGTCTTTTCATCTTTGAATCACCCAATTCGTGATCCTCTCACCCATGCCATTACTGTTCTATGGCCTCTGTCTTCTCTTCTATCTTAGCATTTAATATTACTTGAAGGAGTTCAGATGGTGTCGCTGCTGGGTCGAGCTCCCGACAACCCTTCGGTGCATTTTCAGCTTCTCCCTCTCTAAGCACCCAAGAAGGAACCTGATGGGAGAACCGAAACATCTCTTCTCTTGGGATCTTTTGAACAGAATCAGGGTCCATGTTCCTGTAGAAAACAGTCTTAAACCCAACCACCTTGAGCAGAGGGGCCACAGTAAGCCCAACCTCCTCTAAATAATCATCGAGGACCTCTACCATGTCATACTTGTATATCACTTCATCTGGGGTAGATTCATTCCAGTCCTTAGACCAGTTCCTATAGAGAGCCCAAACTTCGCTTTTTCTTGGTACAATTCTGATGACCCCTCTCAAGCCTTTCTCCCACTTAACCATGTGAGAGAATACATTAACCGACTTGTTTAATTCGTATCTACCCACCCTGAAGTCCCCACATGTCTTGGTAAAACCGGAGCCAACCCAATTTATGGGGCCAAGCTCAGCATTAGATTTAGAATTGAGCCAACTGATCCTCATCTTGAAAGGGTTCAGTGAGAGAACCTTTTGGATCATGGCATAATAGCGAGGCATCCCATCATCATCATCATAAGCAGCCCACACTTGATTTTCCTCAAAACATTTTTCTGAGCGATCATTGTCGAAGTCATGGAAATCGGGGTCGATAACACTAATAGTCACTGGTTCTGGTTGCTCAGGGTCTAAAACATCATTTGGGGCATTAGAAGAAGCCTTTACTTTTGTTGCCTGTTTCTTCTCTCTCTTTGGCCCATTGGATTTAAGCTGATGGGATGAACCACTCACAACCTTCAGGGTGACCTTCTCTTCTTTGGAAGCTCTAGCCTTCATGTTCCACTCTTGTAACTTCTTTTGAATATCTGACCTTGCCTTGTCCATTAATAAGTTACGATTTTCATGCACAGACAACTCCCTGAATGCACCAGTACTGGGCTTTGGGATTGCTCTGTAAGCCTTATTTGCATCTTGGTCCATCCCATTAAAGAATTCCTTGTATGTACCATTAGCCCTTTCGCTTTCATGTACATTCGATTTGACCCCAAAGTACCTATGAACACTGTTTACCCCAAAACCAGATACAATATCAGCACCCAGCCCACCATTTATATTATTAACAACTGCTTCTTCACCATCAATACTCCTTTTCTTTGCAGGTCTATCCCCTACTTCTCTCTCCTGACAACTTTCAGCACCAACACCCCGCTTCCCTGAAACCTTCCTCCTTATTTCCTCACTCCTCGCTGCTGCCTGTGCCTCCTCTCTCTCCCTCCTTACTTTATCATATGTATGCTGAACCATATTAACAGCAGCAGCAGCAGCCGACGATGAAGCATTGGCACTCGCTACACCAGCTGCCCTTGAAAAAGGACCCCACTGAAAATTCACATTATGCAAAGAATCAACGGCTGGATTAGATGGGAACCCATGTCTTCCAGTAAGAGATGGACCTTGTTTCCCTGACTGATGATGGTCTTGGCCCCGTTGGTGAGAGAACGACCATGACATGTTAGAATTAGACCCATTTGAAGGAACTGTTCCAATCTCTACAGCCAAGAATGGTTCGTGACAATTTGGGCACAATAGATTGTGGTTGACATAACATCTTAGATATTCATATTGCATTTTGCACCTATTGCAAGATGTCCAAAATGTGCCAGGCTTCGCTTGGCGAGGTGGAGGGTTAGGAGGAGGTTGTTTAGGTGGTGGTTGGTTAACTGAACGAGCGGCCGATTTTTTAGCCCTAACATTTGAGGTTTGAGGCCTGACATTAGAGGAAGCATTGGTAGTGAAATTATAGAAACCATTAGGAACTTCAGGTTGAGGACTTGGCTTAGAGTTCTGCGCAGTCTTTTGAGGAAGAACCACCTTAACACTGGAATTCCTTTTCATGTCATATTGTGCTCTCCTACCCTTATCTGATAACACAGACCAAGCCTCTGAAAGAAGTTTGAAAGCCCCATCAGCTCCTATAGATTTGTTCTTGTCGGGATGGAGAATTAGGGCTAATTTGCGATACTGTTTCTTCACAGATTCATCGTCAGCTGACGAGCTCACACACAGAATTGAATACCAGTCCATTTCTCCATTTACTTTCTTCTCAGCTGCAAGGTACACATCAAAGGTGGATAGCATCTGGGTGATTCCATCTAAATTAGGGTATAATTGGTGGGCTTTGAGAGCGAATTTCTTGGCACCCTCCATATCTCTGGCTGTGAATTTCCTTTCTGCAATTTCTTTGGCCCTCGTGGCTTCATCTCTGTTGCACTCCATTACTGATCCCTTATTCAATTACAAAGGATCAAATTTGAGTGACTCAATTCTTCGACCATTCGAACCTGAATTCAAAGCCAGAAAATAAAGAAAAGTTGATGGAAAAGAGAGAAACTCAGCCACCACTATCTGAAACTCCAAATTCTCCCATCTACTTATAATCAAAGCACCACAAATCTAGATCCTTCAAAGAAAACAAAAACTCCTCTGACGAAAATTAACAGGCCAAGGGAATTATTCAAAAGAAGCCAATTACAGTCTCAAGATAATGAAAATTCCTGATTAATACAAAACCAAGTTCATAATATCCTCGAAAGAACATCACCCTTGTTTCCGCACCCCTCATGCATGACCAAACCCTAATACTGAAACTTCCTTCACATTCCCAACCCTGAGATTCTCTCCCATGAATGAGTTATCACACTCTACACGTGTAAAACAAGAAAACCATGGATCTGAATCATCCTAAACCAGAAGTTCACAAAGTTCCCTTATTGATCAATGTTTAAGACTGAAACCCTATAAATAATGATCTTAGCGCACACTTCACGGCAAAATGCGAAACAAGATTCAGAGAACAGCCTGGTAAAATACGAGAGAAGCCCATAAATTACCTGGTTCGCGGGCTCAATGGAGACAGAGGAATTTTGAATCTTTGGCCCTCCATTTCCACCACCTCCATTTCCCCTGTTGCAAAAATAGGGTTTTACAAATCCAATCAAAAAGTAACCCGCCCGATCCCAAAAATACAAAGGCCCCATGTCAAAAGCCCTTAACGCCAAACTAACCCAAGTCCTTAAATTTTAATTCAAAAACAAAAATTCTGATTGGCTAGTTGGTTTTTTTAATTGTTTTTTGATTAATTTTGCCTCATCCGTGGGTTAGTTTAGGGCAACAAACCCTAACCAGGGTTAGTTTTTAACCCATCCACAATGGGGTCGTATTCTGGACCAAATTTTTTTTGCCCTAAAATTGGCAAAAGTTCTTTTGGTGGAGAATTTCAAGGTACGTATTGAAGTAAAGTTTTATGGGTATAATATTTATTATTTAATAAATTTATTGTTTCCCATAATTATTTGTCACATCAATGGTAGATACTTGCATACATAAATACAACCATCATTGATAAATACATAAATACACAAATAAATACATAAAAAATATATGCACCTTTTTATGCTTGCATTCAGTATGTTTGTGTATACTCTAGGTATCAAGACACAATACAAGACTAGAATAGATCGCCTCATCTTACCAAATTAGTGGTCGATACCTGGGCCGATCTGGTCAAAATAAAAAACCTGGTTTCTTCAAAAGCTGCTTAAGGCCAATGTTCGATTGATTTTGACTAGTTGCACCAACTAAACAAAGTTGATAATTTTTTTTTATAATATGTTTCAGTTTTAAAATTATTATTATTATTATTTTTTAATTTATAAAAATCAGATCTAACTGCTCCAATTAATAGTTGAACCAATTTTGATTGGATCAAGTATCTCACTAATTGAAATAATTCAACATCTTTTGATGAGATTAGACCCTTCATTTGTAAAAGTATTGATAAATACATTTATTTATGTATGTACATATATGTTTGCCTACACATGACATAAAAATGCAGCCATACATACACTGAAGTAGATGTTCATATATTCACAGAAAAGTTATATATGCGACTGGCATAAATGGCTACTGCTGTATGCATATACATGTACATCTCTGCCAATGTATATAACACAAGCATATGTATGATATAATTGCTCTTGACATGTGCAGTTGCATTGATAATTTATTTATGGCATGAACCGCGTGAATAAACACAATAGGTATTGTTAGGTTATCTAAAACATTATAGAAACAAAGAGGAGAGAATGTTCAAGCAAAATAAAAAATAAAAATAAAAGGAACAAAATGTTCATGCAGAACATGCCACACGCGGACATTTGTGTAAGGGCACTTGAGGCATACTTTGCACTTCGCAGGACTGCTTTCAGTCGTGCACAAGTGCTGGTCACTTCCGCACCTGAAGCAATTTGCATAATTTTTAATACTCATAAAAACGCATTGTTAAGAACTTTCCCTAAAAACATAATAAGAGAATTTCGGTTTCTAAATGAAATAGGAAAGCAGCATAGTCGTCGGGGTGCGGGTGCGGGTGCGCTCCAAGTAGGGGAAGCTAACTGGGGTCAACAGAACCATGGATTGTTGGAAGCTCCTTGTGGTTGGGATCGTCGTCCATATGATCCTATATCGAGGGAGCACGATCCTTGTCGTAAGGAAGTGCGATTCTATGAGGAAGGAATCATAATAGTATGTTTTAAGGGATCGAGAATGATGCATGGGTTCACATTATCATTGGGCACAATCCTAAATCATTGCATATGAATCAGTGCCTAATAAAGAAAACGTCATACGCACTGCATCGTACATTTGAGAACCGCAGTTCAAACCAACTAGGAACAAGGATCACAATATAGAGGATCCACGTTCCATCCAAGATCTCTAGCTTAAATCACAGGATCGATGTTCTAGAGCAGGTATGTGACCTTTCTTATAAGGTTCCAACAACTATGAAAAAAAGCACTAACTGCTGCTACCATTCAGAAAGAAAGCATAAGAGCAACTGAGAGAACCAGTAAATCATGCCACCATAGGGATGAAGGGGATTTTTCATAGAAGCAACTAGATTTGCAATGCTCAATTTATCTTATGTTCATATTACATATAGTGTACTAAAAATAATGGGATCATTAAATGCATTCAGTTATTGAATATTGCATCCTCATATTCTAGAACATAGGGCAATAAAATCACACTACTAAGAAATGAGAATATAAATCTTTACATGTACATTAATTGTTTAGATTATGTCTTGGAAATTAGAATATTTCAATCATTTTATCATGAAGCCAGTCCATGAATTCTTTTTAGAATCTGAAGCCAGTCCTAAGAGAGACTTATCATTTATGCTATCTTTCTATCCTTGTATAGTATTATACTGAGTAGAAGCAAGAGACATTAAGTTACATTTTAAATATTTGCACACAATGGACATAACATTCATCTAAGGTTTTAGCTGAAGTCTGTGTACACGCAATGGCTAACACTAGAGGAAGTGAGGAGATCGTGTTATTCCCTTTAATCCAATCCTCTTTCATCATAAGTTTTTGTAAGTTGATATATCTCCAAAAACCTCATGGACGTGTCTCCATGGTTTTTTGGTTTATGTCAACATATTAAGTACATATAAGGGTGGCAATTGGACCGAGCAGGCTAGGTCAGGCCCGACCCTGGCCTTGCCTTTAAGGTCTCTGGTTGAGCCTGGACAACAGTAGATCGCCTTAGGCTCATGTATTCCAAACACTAAGGCACCACAATCAATGTCATACACTAAAGAAACTTAAACAGTTCTTCTAAATTTGACTTATTTGAAATCTTGCTATAGAAGCACGTACTATCACCTACATAGTTGGCATGGGGATAGTCAACATACCCTATATAACTTGAGCTAGGCTCACTAATTTTGACCTAAGGGATGGGCTTGGGCCTAAATCCTAAGCCTCATGGCCAATGCAGACTAGGGATTGGAATGGGTCGCGGTGCTGCACTAGCCACGAGGGGGCCCAGGCATGTGCTACAAAATTTGGCCCGATGGCTTGGGCATGCAAATACTTGATTGAGGGGCCATGCCACCATAGTTGCTTAGCTCAGCCTTGTTTTCTTTTATTTTCCTTTTCTCTTATTTTCTTTAAGTTTATCAAGTTGGGTTGGGCTTAAGCTAGGTCCCCTTCGTCCCTGTCTAGGCCAAGTTGTCCTAGCCCTTTGTTCACCCTAAGGGCTAGGTTTATGGAAAGGAATGCCCTAGACCATTTGCAGAATATTGGACGATTAAAATCTCAAATCGATAAGCTTGACCTCAATATGTATGGACATGAGAAAAGCTGGATTTCAAGTCTTGAAACTTGTAATGCATTTTTTGGACAATCAAATTTCAAGATTTTCAAGCGTTCATAGGTATGCTTGATCTACACTTTTTCTTGGAGCTTAAAAACTTATAATTAGATATGAAAATACATTTTTAAGCTGTCACAAAGATTTCCAATATTAAAATAACATCTTTCAACACAATTTGAAGGCGCCTTACTTTGATTATTTAGGGCCTCAACTTTTTACAAACCATACACACACACACATATATATAAATATATATAACAAACGCTTAGAATATATAATGAATAATAATATAGGTGGAATCTCAGCAGTTAGATCTTCATCGAGCGGTTCAAAATACATATCACTATCTAAATTTAAATCTTTTTTATAGAATTTGAATCATAATGAAATTTTGAACATGTGTACTAAAAAGTAGGCATACAAGGAAATATATAAAACAAATATTTTTTAAAATATAAAATGATAAAAAAATCCCTGAAAAAATATGGGGGTAATTTGGCCATTTTAAATTATGAAAAGTATTTTTTTTATATTTTTATATGGTGCTCAATAGTATCATGTATATACATCCGAATTTCATCTCAATCTAATTTATAGAAAAAAGATTAAAATTCAGATAGTAATATGCATTTTTGACAAAAATATTTTACAAAAATGGATCAAAAAACACATAAGAGATCAATTATTTAACATTCTACCTAATAGAAATAAAATTCAAGAATATTAGTTTTTTAAAAGATAACAATAATATTGCTCTTTCTTTTTGAGTGAATGTAACAACATAGGAAAATATATATTGCATGTAACAAGATAGAGAAGTGTGTATTATACTATTATATATACAATAAAAGACCCGCCACAATATTAGTGTGGGGCACAACTATTTTATCAACAAGTTACCCTTTTTCTCTCAATTTCTTTATGGTATCATAGCCAAAGAATCTCATTCGATCTAATTCAGTCTACCGGCACACCTGCAAGTTTCTCTCTTCCTCTCCTGCTCTACCTTGCAACCCTTCCCGCCAATTTTCTTATCCTTGCTTTACACTCGAAGCCTAAAATTTCAAAAGAAAAGTCCAGGCCCAATTTCCATCCTCTCTTACATACCCAATTTTCCATCCTTTTCTTTAAGCCATCACCTTGTTAGATCCATCTTTAGATACATTCTTCCTCATGTCCTTCATTAAGTTATTTTCTTTCATTTTTCCTTCCACATTACCTTTCTCCTCATCTACTTAGGACCCTCTAAAATCTACTATGTCACTCTCAATCCCGTCAGGCTAATGATCGGTATTTGATCCTTATTTGTGTCAATTAAATTAACACAGAACTACTGTTATGGAAAACCTAAATGCTGTAACGAATTAAGAATTAGGAAATTTTCGACATTTTTTTATTTAATTTCAAAATACCTGTCAAAATACACATGACCGTAAATAGGAATAGTTGAAAGATGGTAAATTGTTGAAAAATTAGGCGTATTTTGATAAATTTCTCGAAAATAAAAAATTGTAATAAAATCTAAAGAAATAGAAACCGGTCATAGTCCTATAATAATTTGTAAGGAAACCTTATTGATTAAGAATTTATAAGGATGATTTCCTATTCTTTAGGGACTCTAGAAAAGAAAACCTTATATTATGAAGGGCTATGTCTGATTAAGTTATATGGAGGTAGCACAGTGATGTGGGTATATACAATCTAAAATGTTTAGAACATGTTTGGATGTATCTGTTGTCGACGAGAATTCACTGTTTCAATAAAATTAATCCTGGTAATGAAAGTATATAGTAAAGTCATTCGTTTACACACAAGTTTATCTTTAGAAAAGTTGTTTTTACTTTATCTAAAGTAATAGATTGAAAATCATAAATAATCAAATAATATCTTACACAATACAAAATAAGTACAAAACAACTTACAAAATAGTCCATTAATTTTAAAAAAGAATCCATTCAAGGAAAAAATTAAATATCATCCGAACATGCCCTTATTTACTGTTTGGGATGTCAGCTCAGCCAATTAATTTTGTATGTCTTTATAAATAGGGAAAAGTTTATATAGAGCCGAAGCTCTAAACAATCAAATTTGAGCTTACCTCAAAAATTTCACTAGAAGAATTTTTTTTGAAGCCCAAATATCTTTAAATTGATCATCTCAAAATCAAGATGCATGTACATGAGAAAAAAATAGATTTCAAATTTTAGAAATTGTACATCTTGTAGCGTGTTTTTGGACTGTCAATTTTCAATATTTTCAAGTTGTATAGATCTACTCGATCTACAGTATTTTTTAAGCTTTAAATTTTATAATTAAAGATAAAAATATACTTTAAGGCTATCACAAATAGTTTTAGTATTAAAGATACTATTTGAAGATAGGCTCAAATTTGATTGTTTAGAGCCTCGGCTCTATGTAAACCCCAACCTTATAAAATAAGCCTATTTGAGACTCGCATGACTCATCCAAAAATTGACAATAAAATAATGATATTTCTAAAATTTAGTCTCCCCAAACAGGCACATCGTTTATCGATCTATAAGACCTACTTCCACCTCCCTAATTATGGTCCGGACCCCTGTGTTGACCCCAAACCCCTAGTTCCCCTCCGACTTCAATAAATTGGACGCTCAGCCCCTCCCTGCCTTTTCTTGCATGAAGGAAAAAGTTTGTTTAAGGGGCGAGGCTCTATACAATCAAACTAAAGCGCACATCATGAATTCAGTAGAAGAGGTTGTTTCGGTGCTAAAAAATTCTCAAATCGATCATCTTGACCTCAAGATGTATAGACATGAGAAAATATGGATTTTGAGTATTGGAATTAGTACGTATTGTAAAACATTATTTGGACTGTCAATCTTCAAGAGGTTATAGATATGTTTGATTTACACTATTTTAAAAATTTTAAATTTTATAATTAAAAATGAAAATATACTATGGAACAGATCAGACCTAGACCCAACCTGTACATTTCACTTTAACTTTGAGCTTGGTCAATTAAATAAATATCATCACCCAATTTCACATCCAATAGTCAAGATTAATTGTGAGCACCTCTTACCAAATGTTTTCCCTTTAAATATTATGACTAAAACTTCATTATAAGAAGTTGTTTCTATGCCAGAAAATCCTCGGAATCTAATCATGTTAACCTTGAGATATATCGACAAAAAAAAAAAAGACTTCGAGTTGTTATGTATTAATATCAAGATTGTCAATTTTCAAGATTTTAAAGCATTCACACTTCTGCTTGATCTATTCTGTTTTTAAAACTTTAAAATTTATAACTACATATGAAAATAAATTTTTAGGTCATCATAAATTTTATTTTTTAATGATTATTGAATAGTTATTTATTTACCACCATCTACTGTTTGAAATTTTTTGTCTTAACCCAAAATATATAAGCAATGAAATGAGCATTTCCTTTAAATAAAATTATTTAATTTTTTGTTTTTGTTTTTTTATGTCTATCCTAACATTTACATTTAAAATGAATCGAAAATTTCTTTTATCTTATGGAATATGTTTGTCATTCTTTCTCTTTCCTTGCTTAAGGAAAATATCTCAATTCAACAGCACAGCGTATGGTAGGAGAATCGTTTGGTGTGTCCAAGCTCGCGTGAGAGCGTATGGTAGGAGAATCGTTTGGTGTGTCCAAGCTCGCGTGAGAGCATATGGTAGGAGAATCGTTTGGTGCGTCCAAGCTCGCACATGTTATCATGCGGATTGAACATCTACACCATTTATCAAAACGAATACAAAAAAGTAAAATAAAAATTTCAAATATTTCCTAAAAAAATAATGTCATTTCTAACTTTTAAAACTTATTTATTTTTACATATTTATAATCTATATTTTAAAGATTATATATTTTTTAAAAATTAGGATAAAAGTCCATTTAAAAAATAAATTATTTAGGAGCCCGCATTTCTACATGTGCGTCCGTGGACTCATAGAAATCATGTCCTAAAGAGAAACAAGAGAGTTTGGGTTGGGTTGGGTTGGGTTGGGTTGGTTTGGGTTCAGCACAAGAGTTCCACTCTCTAGCTCTAGGTCTCTCTCTCAACCTTGCTCTCAACCAGTATCGCTGAGCTCACTGTAATTGCCGCTCGCTCAACCGCCCTATCACTCTAACGCTACTGCATCTCCAACAAAAACCAGTGAGTTTCTTAAGTTGTTTTACTGTTATTGAGGTTTTATTTCTCCCTGTGATGAAGGTATTTTCGTAAACCCCAAATCTATGGAAACCCTAGCTTCACCATCTTTTGAGAAACCTTAGTTTCTTTGCTGTTTGTCCTCATTAAAACTGTCAATGTAATGCCGTTTGTTATTTGCCGGGCATCAATTCCAGACTAGTTAATCCCTTGTTGTTTCATTTGATGTTTGTAATGCATATTCCTTGTATACCATTTCAACTAATTCTAGTCTAGCAGTGCCTTGTGTCTCTGTCTGTTATGCATATGTTTTCCCCGACTTTGTTTAAGAACTTCGAAAAACCAATCAATCAGAATATCACATTGGTTCAAAGTTGTGGGAGCAAAATTATAGTAACAAATATTGGAAAACAATTATGAGAAAAGAATAATTGGCTGGAAAATAAGGGGCAGTCTCACTTGGTGTGATGGTAAAAGTCTTGGATAGCCAGCGCAGGAGCGCGGGTTTGAGTCCTGAGAGCGGCCACTTTATGCATAAAAAGCCAAATTAGGACCGTTTCCATCTCATCCTCTCCCGGGACCCTGCGCAAACGAGCACCGGGTTACAGCCCTAATAATTGGCAGGAAAATGAAAATAAAAAGAGATAGTATATGGTGCATATTAGTTATTACAGATCATCTTTATAAAATTTGATATCTTTAGGTTCATTGAAACATAACTTGGAACATTCTGGTTGGTTATTTATAAAATGCAAAATAAATGTGATCTGTACAAAACTTTAACCAAAAAGAATTTGAGAAGTGAAGGATACTGAGATATATTGGTTAGCAACCCATGCTGAGGATACTTTTATGGAGGACATAAAATATCCAAACAAGATGTTGAGTTACTTGTCATTTGAAAGTTGAAACTATAACTCTCTGAGTAAAATTGTCAAGAAAATCTCCAGCCAACATTATGAGGACATGTCTATGATTTTCTTTGCATCAAATAATTAACTTTTGGAGAGGTTGATCTTACTATGTGAAATTCACCATGTAATTTATGGCTATGACCTTGTTTGTGTATGCAGTCTTTATTTTACTCATTTCTCACAAGTAACCAAAAAAGTATTCCTTGAATCTATTGACATTTTTTGGGGTCATATTAGATGGATGGAAGGATACTTATTTAGTAAGAAATGCATTGGATGGGTTGTAGTAAGAGAATATTATTCAAGATATATATTTCGTACATCAGATCAATGAACTACATAATGAACAGTTTACCAGGCAATCTCTAGCTTTCCTAATGCCAAACAGGTGAAAATACCAGCACCACAGTTTATCGAATAGGATTTCCAGCTTTCAGGTCGAAATCCTGGAAAGTCAGCAGCATGGATTTTTGCAAGGAAATTGTAGTGGAAGTTATCAAAAGCCACCTTAAGGGCTTCAACCTCCCTTAGCAGGGTTTTTATTTGACCATCATCCACCAGCGGTGACAATCAGCTTCAATGGGACAAGTCGCTTCCTAATTCATATACTGGTTTGTTGTTGGGACTTCCAAACTAGATATAACGTGAAATTAGGGATGTCCGCAAAGCGGAGAGAGCAAAATACTACACCCGCTCTTCCTGTTAAAAAGGATCTCGGATGATTTCTTGCTCCCGCTGGAGTAGACTATCCATTTGTATACTTCCTTCATCTCTCTATTATGAAAAGAGAGCGAGAGGCATGACTGGAATTGGGCGCTTTGCGTTTTGATTTTGATTTTTGAAAGAGAGGCTCTGCAACACAAAATGGAGATTGCTCTGTTTCGCGTCTCTCTCCTTGTTCATTGAGAGAGAGAGAGAGAGAGAGAGAGAGAGAGAGAGAGAGAGAGAGAGAGAGAGAGAGT